ATGCAATCATCCTGTTGTTTTGCAGAACTGTGCCAAATCGAAAACACTTGCTGTTGCCCAAAACTACTCCAACCTTACTGCCATAAAATCAATGAAAATATACAAAGACTGCCACATATTAAAAAAAATGATACCAAACAACGTAAAGTCAGTTTCGCCAAAAGCGAATCGTGCCTCCTGGATAAAGAAATGTTAACCAAGAATGACTTGTGGTCAACTGATAAAATAAAATTATACCGTCAAGATGCGCCAAAATCCTGTTTGAAAAAACATACATTCAAAAGTCTACCTCAATTGTTAGGAACGTCTAATGATGATTTGTCTGGTGATTTAGTTGATACCAAAACTGAGGATAAGTGTATCAAGTGCAACCAAAAAATTGTTTATAAAAGTAAAAAATGTAAAGTAGATCATAGTTTTGTTCAAGAACCAGATAGTACTAAGACAAGTTGTGCCAAAACTGCTAAAAATGACTTGCATGACACCAAAATTACAACAAATCTTAGCAAGAAATGTACTGAACAAGATGGTGTACAAGAGGTGACTCAAAAATGTTCAGATTTAGTGATACATCAAATCACCAGTGACTTGGATTATATTCTGCAAGACAGAAGGCAAATTTCAGACAGTGATAAAGATTGTGCTGAAACAAAATGCTAACATTTTCTTGGTAAATTAAAATTTGCCACTACATTTCTACAAGTATATGTCATCAAATTTGATCACAAACAAGACAGTAGTAAGAAAATCTAAGCCAAAACCAAAACTAATTATTTGCAAAGTTCAAAACTCTGACAAATCAAGACAAAGATGGGATCGATCATATATATTTACCAGAATCGTTGAAAAATCTTAAGATTTGTCAGAAATGTTCAAATTTGTTGATGCATCAGACAAATCTTGGTAAGAAAATCTAAGCCAAAACCAAAACCAATTATTTGCAAGGTGCCAACATTCTGACAAATCAAGACAAAGATGGGATTGATCATGTTTATTCACCAGAATTGTTGAAATTTCTTAAGATATGTCAAAGATGTTAAATTTGTTGATGCATCAGACAAATCTTGGTAAGAAAATCTAAGCCAAAACCAAAGCCAATTATTTGCAAGGTGCCAAAACTCTGACAAATCAAGACAAAGATGGGATTGATCATGTTTATTCACCAGAATCGTTGAAAATTCTTAAGATTTGTCAAAGATGTGTCAAAGATGTTTAAATTTGTTGATGCATCAGACAAATCTTGGTAAGAAAATCTAAGCCAAAACCCAAGCCAATAATTTGCAAGGTGCCAAAACTCTGACAAATCAAGACAAAGATGGGATCGATCATGTTTATTCACCAGAATCGTTGAAAATTCTTTAGATATGTCAAAGATGTTTAAGTTTGTTGATGCATCAGACAAATCTTGGTAAGAAAATCTAAGCCAAAACCAAAGCCAATTATTTGCAAGGTGCCAAAACTCTGACAAATCAAGAAAGATGGAATCGATAATTGGATCACAATACCAAGAAAATCTGGGCCAAAACAAAGTCAAATTATTTTTAGGGTACCAAAAACTGTGTCAAATCAAGCCAAGCATGGTATAGACCTTGTTTATTCACCAAAACCATTGGTAAATTTTAAGATGTCTTGAAAATGTTTAAAATTGTTAATGCACCAGATCTTGCTTGTTTTTGTTTGAGAATTGGTTTATCAGTTCGAAACAATATGATCAAACTTATAGATTTACAAAGGATGGCATCAAATTTGTTCACCAAAAAGGTAATACCAAGAAAATCTGAGCCAAAACAAAGTCCAATTATTTTTAGGGTATCAAAATTGTGTCAAATCAAGCCAAGGATGGTATTAACCTTATTTATTCACCAGAACCTTTGAAAAATTTTAAGATGACTCGAATATGCTTAAAATTCTTGATGCATTAGGCAAATCTTGATCGTTTTCTGAATTTAAAAGTTATATGAACGATGGCATCAAAGTTTATTAACAAGAAAATATGGAAATATTGGTCCTTCCATCTATTATACGTAAATTGGTGCAGAAGACAAATTATTTGTTTATAAATATAAATGTTGATATCAAAAGAACGAATAGTATTAATAACTGTGATATTTTATGTAAGATTTTTGTATTGTATTATATAAAAATATATTATATTGAAATGTTTATGAAAATCAATCGCTAAAAATATTATAAAATTGTACATATATATGTTTAAAGAATACAGTTTTATAAATGTTTATACATAGAGTTTTATTTAAAAAAAACGATTGCATAAATATATAATTATATTAAATTAAATAAGATTTTTGCATATCTTCACGTTTTGAGGGTTTCTGAACACTTTGGCATACCTTAGAAAAAATGGATGTGTATGTATGTGCGGATACAACTTTTTCTGTCGACGTTTTTGGGCGCACGGATCAACCGATTAGAATGATTTAAAAAACATTCGATTCTTAATGATAAGGAGATGTGCTGATTAGTTTTTGGCAAAGGCAGGTCCAGCCGTTTCGGAGATACGGAGCAAAGATTCCAGAAATTAGAAATCAAGTTTTTGAGAGAACGGAGCATCCGATTAGAATGATCCAAAAAGCATTCCATTCGTAAGGATGGGGAAAAGTTGTGATAAGTTTTTGGCAAAGGCAGGTCCTGCCGTTTCGGAGATACCGAGCTAATTGTACAAAAAATGACTGTTTTTGAGAGAACTAAGCATCCGATTTGTATGATTCAAACAACTTTGTGCTTGTTTTGACGAAAGAATTGCATTTGGGCAAAGATTTTCATTTTCATTAATTGAAAAACAATTGTTTCCCAAAAAATATTTTTTTTTTACTATAGTAAGGGATTTATATAGAATATTGCTACGATATCACGTGCTTGCTGGGTAAATTTTATTTTTCGATTTTTGTATTGCGAAGTTCCAGCAATTTGCCTTGAATACCACTAGTTGGTATTGAAATTGCTCCAGGGTTCATATTCATTAAAAATATTCTTATTACATAAAAAATTATAATTATGCACAAATTTTACTCAAATGTAATAAACACATTCTTCAAATATCATAATCAAGTCATTTATTTAATATTATAATTATTGGACTGCAAACGAGACGTCTTAGCGAACAAAAATAATATATTTGTAGTATTAAAAAATAATTATTTAGTTTTATACAAAATTTATTACCAATTTTGACAGGCGGCCATTTTGTCAACACTTTATTGTTATTAAAAATAATTTCTTACTTATTTGTCAAAAATAATTAATAATACATGAAAAATACAATTTCCAACATAGTTTACACACGGTTTGTAATGAAAACATTAAACAAACCGCTTTTTACTTCAAAAATCAAACTAACATCAATAAACAAGAAATAACTCAAGCAAATCACCATATAAAATTTGTGCATAAATTGTGTAAATTAAATAAATCCTTACCTTATCTAACAGCGTATACACGTGCATAAAACTAATTTAAACACACTAAACAATTTTTGCAATTAATTTTCACTAAATAAATAAATAAAACATATATTTTCTTAGCACTTGTGTAACAGTCATGTCAAAAATAATTGTGCATATAAACCGTAATCAGCTCGGAAGTCATACAGGCAGTGTTGCCAGATGATAAATGATAATAATTGGTTTTGAAAAACGGAATTTGAACTGTTAACAAATGTTTTAAACATATTTATGTATTAATAAACAAAATAATACGTTTTTTTTTTTATATATTCATTTTATAAGTGAAACAATATTTTAATAATTATATATTTTTTTAAAGTGTTGACAGGTTCAACAAGAAGCATCCGCCATATTGTGTTCTTCCGAAAAAGCAAAACCAGTATTTTTATGTCGAATTTAAACAGTTTTTAGGCGTATTTAAATATAAAATATATAAATACGTGTTGCTTTACAAGTGCTTTTATATAATATTTGAAATAACAGTGTTTTGTGTAATATTGAAGGTAAGATTTTGGATCTAAATATGCTGTAGAAAAGTTCTGAATTTTATTTAAAATGGCGGAATATTCAGTAAAATACAAAAATTTGGAGTAAAAGAAATACAAATCGTTATGGTAATTATGATAATAGAATTTATTTCATTTTTATATAATTTAACTCATGTGCATATAAGCTTTCAGTATAAAACACTTATTTTTTATCATATGTATTATTTATATTGTCTAGGCTTGTACACTTTTTGTTTAAGTGGATTGGATTTGATTCATTGAATTTATATATATTTAAACTTCAACCTTCTAATTTCAAAATTAATTTACTTTTAAACATTTTTTTCAAATTTGCCTCTGTTTTTTCCACCGGCTTCTCTCAACTGTCAACACATAACCTCAAAATCGTCCGTCAACACTTGTTTGCGTTCAGTTTCACATTTGTTATTATTTTAATAAAAATAAATATAATTCTTATGTTTATTTACAAAATATTCATTATATTATTTTATATAAGTGACTCCAAAAACGTTTTTGTTTGGTTAAGATAAAATGCACATGGAAAAGGTTAGGTTAAAGATAGAAATTTACTTTATAGTAAAATGTAATAAAATAAGAAAATATGGACAATAATATTAAATTAATAAATAGATTAATAAAAATTGAAGTATTTATTGTGTACTATATATTATTATTAGTGTTTATTAATAAATATGTTAGTTGCAAAGTAACTTGCTTCGATAAGTTTAAATAAAATTTGTTTAAATAATATTCTGTAAAGAACAATGTAAATATTTAAATTTGTACACTAAGTTGTTTAAATTGTGCAAAATGTGAGCAATCAGTTAATATTTAATTTGCCATTGTACTTTTAGAAGCAAAGTCTATGATTTATTACAATTATTATTTATATTTATTATATGGTTTATTATTTTTATTAATCTATTATTTTCTGTTTCCAGATAGTGCCTCCAAAAAATGTGTGATATTTGCTACAAATAAAATTTCAATTATGATTAATCTCCAAGATTTCCAATGAGATCTTAGAAGCAATTTTTGACTACTGCGATGAAACCTCATTGCAAAATGTGTACAAAACTTGTAAGAAGTTTAAACAAATTGTTTCATTCCACAAATACTGGCTGAGTTTATCTAAAGAATGCTTTGCTACTAATCAAATATCAGATTTCATGAGCAAAAGTAAGATAAATAATAATTTATATTTTATTTCTGTTATGATAGTTATTTCTATGATTATTTTAGGTGTCTTGTCACCTTATCGCCTTTTGAAAAATGTCGCCTGTCCAACAACTGGCTGATAGCAAACTACGAGCAAAGTCAATTCCTAAAGATGCCCCAAAACTACATGCCGTGTTTGCAACTTGATGAAAACCATTTATGGGTCGGTTTTGGCAAAACAATTAAGTCTTATAGTAGAAGCATCATTGAGAAATTTATGCAAGGGGAACATTGGCTGAGGAAACCCAGACATGATCACGTTTTAGGTTCAAAAAGAATTTAACCTAATTATAACCTTAATTTAATTCATGTATCTATTACCATCAGGAGATACTCAAGCCAAAGGTGATGCCAGCCGTTTCCGTCGCAGCAAAAACCTCATCATCTACAACCAAGATGATAATCTATGCTGCTACGATATCTATAAAAAGAAATATGTCTTCAAGAGAGACATTTCCACAATATTTCGTTTAGGACAAGATCAAACATCTCCTTGCAATGGTTGGAAGACAAATGATGCTTTGGATTTTCAAGCAGACAGTGATGTAGTGGCTTTCAAATCGGGGGAGACTGTTTTTGTGACGGCTTTGCAGAATTTTAAGAAGAGCAAGATGAGTAGTCTGAATGTTTGGAATAGGAATTGCTGGCGGTTGAGGCTGTCGGATTGTGGGAAATCACTGGTGGGTGCTGCTAAGGATGGGTTGTCATATTTGTATGATGTAGAAAGGTAATAAAAGTATTATATATATATATATATTATATATATATATATATAATATATATATAAATTAGTTATTCTCTTTCAGTGGTGGTGAAATTGCTCAATTTGGGTGCAAAATTAAGAGTAATACTGTTGTTGACATATGCTGGCAAGTAAGTATTTATTTTCATATAAATCTAGAAATTGCCATTAATATTTAAATGAAGTAACTATTTATTAATTTGTGTTTACCCTTTTAAAATGTATTCAGAAATGCAAAATGTTCAAAATCCAATATTCTTTAAACATTTCAAATAATATACTAAGTTTTAAAATGTAATCTAAATTTAAAACTAGTGGTGCATTGCATCGTGCCTTAAGGCAAATTGCTGGAACTTCCCGTACCGTAATGAAATATTCGAGATATTTTAAGCGTTTTCAAATATCATTACAAATACTGTAACTTTCATTATTTTTGCTATCTTGTTATATCTGATTCAATTGATCTCCAGAAAGAATATTAACAATGGTCATTTCATTTTGTTCGATTCAATTTCAAAAAATATGTTTAGTTGCCTAATTTAAACAAAATTGAAAAAGTGCTCCCGTATAGTCATAGTTTCTTGTGCATTTGCAAACAATTCTGTGCGACATTTTCACTTGTACTGTGCTTAGCTTGGCGGCATTTTCACATTTTTCATTAGTTTTCTTTTCACAAAATTGGACATAAACAATCTAAACGCACTTGGGTAAACATTTGTACCAGAGTGGCGCTTAGACTGTGCTTAGTCTGGGTAATTTTTTGAATTTTTAATCCAAAATTACAAAAATATTTTTGAAAAAAAAATTAAAAACATTTTTTTTCCCCGAAAGCAATTATTTTATTGAAACAAGCAGAAAGTTTTTTGAATCATTTAAATCGGATGCTTAGTTTTCTCTCAACTGCCATTTTTTGCACATTTTGCTCTGTATCTCCGAAACCGCTGGGCCTACATGTGCCAAAAATTAATCACCACTTCTCCCCGTCATTACGAATTGAATGTTTTTTAGATCATTCAAATCCGATACTCCTTTCTCTCAAAAACTCGATTTGTATTTTCTGCACTCTTTGCTCCGTATCTCCGTAACGGCTGGACCTGTCTTTGCCAAAAACTAATCAGCACATCTCTCTATCAATAGGGATCAAATGTTTTTTAAACCATTCAAATCGGTTGATCCGTGCGCCCGAAAACGTAGACGAAAAATGCGGACATACAAAACACACACACACACATCCATTTTTTCTGAGGTATGCCAGTAAAATGTTCAGAAACGGAAGTTAATAATGAAAAGTTTGAAAGACAATCAGCCTTTTTCAAGAAACTTCGTTAATTTGACTTTCTCAAATTCTTTTTTTTTAATATTAAGTGTGGTCAATTATACTAGCACGATATGTGACAATTTCTTCATATTGTTTTTATATACATTTATATATGAGTAAGTATTTTATAACAAAAAAATATTATCTAGTTCAACTTCCACAAATCGAAGACGAAAATTTGTTCCGCACACACACACACACATACATATATACACACACACACACACATCCATTTTTTCTGAGGTATGCCAGTAAAATGTTCAGAAACCTTTGAAACGTCGAGAAATGCAAAAATTTTCATTTCGATTCTTGGCCCATTACTTTATCTACCCTGTCACTACGGGAAGTTAAAAATCTACCAATATCTATCTATTTCTTTTATCCTTTTCCCAGAGCCCCACCGTGTTTCTCACCGGCGGCTACGACTCCGTGATCCGCCTCTGGGACACCCGATGCCTGTCGACGAATTTCGAAACGAACAGGGCCGAAATCGAAATGGGGGATCCCTTCAACAGTGCAATCTACTGTCTCAGCAGCGACAAGAACAATTCCCTCCTGGTCGGGATGCAGATGAACGCCAGGGTCAACGCCTGCGACATCAGGAATCAGAGATTTTTACAAGTGAGATAATGATATAATAGACTCTTGTTTAGTTATTAAAGTCACCTTTGTTATCAAGTTAAGTTGCTTCGACATACGAGCATGTTTACGGAATTAAACTCGTATGTCGAGGTATTGCTGTAATCTCAAAGTGCTCATTGAGATCTTTGAAACGAGACCCCACATGCATTTTGGAGTTTTGACTCAAATTTAAGCCCACTTTAAAAAAAACTAGTAGTGTATGGCATCGTGCCTTAAGGCAAATTGCTGGAACTTCCCATACCGTAATAAAATATTCGAGAAATTTTAAACGTTTTCAAATATATTATTACAAATAGTGTAACTTTCATTATTTTTGCTCTCTTGTTATATCTGAGCAAATCAAATGAAACATTAACAATCGTCATTTCATTTCGAATTCAATTTAAAAAAAAATAGATGCCTTAATTATACAAAATTGAAAAAGTGCTCCCGTACAGTCACAGTCTAAACGCATTTGCAAATAATTCTGTGCGACATTTTCACTTATACTGTGCTTAGCTTGGCGGCATTTATAAGAACTAAAATGATTGTTGTTAAATTGAGGAGGCTACATTTTAATATATCTCGTTTTATACTTTTGGACCGGTTCGATTTTTATTTATTTGTTTATAACTTCTAAACAAATTGTCTGATTGTTTTGCAATATCCAGCAAATTTATAGCCAGTTAAATAATCTACAACTTTTTATTAATAACAAATTTTGTATCTCTTATCCTTTTACTTAAAATTTGCAATGAAACAGGTTGTTGTTAAATTTTGGAGGTTGCATCTTGCTTCATATACTTTTAGACCGGCTCGATTTTTATTTAATTATTTATAACTTCTAAACGAAATGTCCCCCCATTTTGCAATATTCAGCAAATTTATAGCCAATTAAATAATCTACAATTTATTAACAACAAAAATTGGTATCTCTTCCTTTTATCAAAACTTTACATTAAAAAGGTAGTTGCTTAATTTTGGAGGTTACATCGTACTCTTACTCTGTATTTTACTCTGCCAGGTATATCGCGCTCTTTTTTGCAGTAGTGTTTTATATATATCTCTCTCCATTTTCTCACTATATCTGTTGTCTCTTTTACGTTAATCAAAAAACTCTATATCACATCGCGACTTAAGAAGTTTTACTTCAAAATGAAATTCTATTTTACTAATTCATACATCGCCAACCTAAGAAGTTGAATTCAAATGTAAATCATAAATCAATCAATTTATCTCCAGAACATTAACAATCGTCCGTCATTTCGAATTCAATTTAAAAAATAAAAATAGTTGTCTAATTTCCACAAAATTGGAAAAGTGCTCCTGTACAGTCACAGTCTAAACGCATTTGCAAATAATTCTGTGCGACATTTTCATTTGCACTGTGCTTAGCTTGGCGGCATTTTCACATTTTTCAATAGTTTCGTTTTCACAAAATTCAAATTGGAAAAGTGCTCCAGTACATAAACAGTCTAAACGCACTCGGGTAAACATTTGCACCAGAGTGGTGCTCTTTGCTGTGCTTAGCCTGGGTAATTTTAGAATTTTTAAAACAAAAACATTTTATAGATTTTATAAAAATAGATGTAATAATTTTTTATTCTCAAAAGTAATTGTTTTGTCAATACAAGCAGAAAGTTTTTTAGATCATTCAAATCGGACGCTTAGTTCTCTCAAAAACTGCCATTTTTTGCACATTTAGCCTTGTATCTCCGAAATGCCGGGACCTATCTTAGCCAAAAACTAATCACCTCTTATCCCGATCATTACAAATTGAATGTTTTTTTAGATCATTCAAATCCGATACTCCGTTTTCTCAAAAACTCGATTTCTATTTTTTGCACTCTTTGCTCTTTATCTCCTAACGACTGGACCTGCCTTTGCCAAAAACTAATCAGCACATCTCCCTATCAATAGGAATCGAATGGTAAATGACTCATTCAAATCGGTTAATTCATGCACTTAAAAATGTCAATGAAAAATTGTACCCATACATACACTCAGACACACACACATCCATTTAGTTTCTGAGGTATGCCCCTTAAAAATGTTCAGAAACCTTAAGAACGTCGAGAAATGCAAAAATTATCATTTTCGATTTTCGGCCCATTACCATAACTACCCTACAGGAAGTTAATACATTTTACTATGGTTTATTTATTCGTTTAATTTTTCCAGATCTATTACATGGGCTCCAAACTGTCGAGTCCCATATACAGTCTGGATTTTGAACCGAGACAAATGTTTGCAGCGACTGCAAAAGAAGTTCACATTTTAGACTTCAGCACTTTTAACAATCCCGTCACCATTCTGAACATCAGAGGAGTCTCAGTTGGGTACAAGAATGATCATAGGACTTGGTTGAAATGATAATGGTAGTAGTAATATATATATATATATATATATATATAATATATATATATATATATATATATGTATCATACATAATGTATGTATGTATTTATATATATTAGGGTGGTCCTTAATATGGACATTTTATGGAATTTCTTTGCTCCCAAGGGCTCAAACGCTTCCAAAGTAATAAAAATAAATTATCTGAAAGTTTTAGCTCTTAATAATAATATTTATATGGACCGCAATTCAATTAAAAGTTTCTATTAAGTAAATTCTTGCGCCATCTGTGATAGCAGACTTGTAATTTTGATGGCATTGTATTATTGATAACTTGAGTGTCAAAATCAACAATTAAATAAATATTTTGCTGCAAAATTAATTTTCATGTCATGATGAATAAATATTTACAATCTACATGGATTTAATTAGATGTTCAGTGAATTATAATTATTTTTAAGTGTTATAATATTTGTTTTCACAAATGCTATAACAGATGGCGCAAGAATTTTCTTAATGATATATGTTAAAAAAAATATACGAAAGTTTTAATTGAATTGCGGACTATCTGAATGTTATTATGAGCTAAAACTTTTGGAGAATTTTATTTTATTAATTTAGAAGCATTTGAGCCCTTGGGAGCAATTTAAAAATGTCCAAATTAAGGACCACCCTAATATATATATATATATATATATATATATATATATATATATATATATATATATATATATATATATATATATATATATA